ACACGATGACATTTGTCAGCAATTAAATAAAAAAGCAACAATAAATTTGAAAAAATATACACAAGATCAATAAGTTCATTTACAAAAATTTGAAAAAGCACACAAACGAAATAGAAAGTTCTACTGGAATTCTGAAAAGTCCCTGTTGAGGAACTGACCAAAGTTGTGGTATGTATTGGTTAATCAAGAAGCATTTTATTTTCATTTTGAAAGGATCGTCGCTGAGGAGCTTGACTTTATTTGGATAGCATTATACAAGCGAATCCCGTGGTAATTACGAGACTTGTTCAATTGAAACCCATTTTTTGTCCGGAAAAAATGCATTGGCAAATATATCTATAAATAATTACCACTACAATTAAGGCACATATCCCATTGTTTCAGCAATCAATGTACGAGCCCCTTCCCACTTCAGTTGACCCACTTCAAGATTTGTACCAAAATATGCCTTTATAAACTAAAGTCTCAGTTCGGTGATTGTACGAGCAGGATGTTGTCGTAGAACCTTTTTCATCTCGTGCCACAAAGTTTCAATAGGTGACAGATCTGGACTGCTAGAAACCCATTTCAAAAGTGGTACATTATTTTCTTCCATCCATTTTATAGCCTTTTTTGGGGTACGGCACGCTGCACCATCTTGCTGAAACACAAAATCTTGGCCGGATGTCAAACATTCTTCCATCACTGGTAAAAGCGATTCTTCTAAAATTGCCAAATATTTGTATCAATAAAATGAAGTTTTCCTACGCCTTTTGATGACATACTGCCCCAGACCATAATGGATGCTGGAAATTTCACTTTTCTCTTCAGACAGTCAACATGGAATGCTTCATTTTTTTGCGAATAACTCTACTGCGACTGTCACCAACACAAACTCCGAATCGGGCCTCATCACTCCATTGTATTGCACACCATTGTTGAGGTGTTCCTTGTCTATGTTCTTTAGCCCATCTAAGCCGATTTTTCTTTTGCAGTGGAGTTAATAGTGGCTTTTCTTTGGCTTATAAACAAGTTGTGCAACTTTTTTTACTTCACTTTTTTTTATCAGAAAACTTACCTTGCAAGTGCTAAATCCCAGTTTGTGGGCCTCTCTATGAGTTGTGGACCTCGAAATTCTCCACAGAGCACTTAATTGTAAATAATTGGCACGCCTGTTTTTCACGATTATTCTTCTTAATGCTCTTCGGTCGGCATTTGTGATATTACTTTTTTTCACATATCGTGGCTTAATATTAACTGAACCAGTTACGTTATATCTTCTATCAATATTACTCACACTGTACCGCGATAAGTCTAACAAAGTTGCAATTTCTGAGTTGGATTTCGCAGAATTAAAAAATTTAATTATCAGTAACCGAATTTTCTCACTAATAACCTTTCCTCTACCCATTTTGAAAACCTTAACTACCCAAAACTATTTTAAACGTATTCTGACAGCTGTGATTAATAAAAACAATTGTCATGGCTTTTATTTTTCACAGCCACCTATGCGTTATATACTTATTTTGCATTGAAATGAAAATAATTGCAACATGTGTTATTTTTATGCTGCAAATTTGATTAGGGAGTGATAAAGTTGGTATTTTCTACTATATATTATCAAAATATTCATTGTTAATATTTTAAACCTATAACACCCTGCTGCATTTTTATTATTTGTGTTTGATAAGAAAAAAACTAAGGTTTCAATAGTTGGACCAACTGAAGTGGGAAGGGGCTCGTATACCCTGCTTAAAAAATTCTTGTGGCTGGTGCTTGAAGAATTCTTTTACGGCATTTTGTACTTCTTCGTCCGACTGGCAATGCTTACCTTTTAACGCCTTTTTCAGTGGCCCAAAGATTTGAAAATCGCAAGTCGATAAGTCGGGACTATTGGGTGGATACTCTAATATCCTCCATTTCTTTCGTTGTTGATTTTCTTTCACTACTCTGGCAACATGCGGCCGAGCATTGTCGTGCAGAAGAATGACACCACATGAGAGCTTCCCGAGACGTTTTCGTCTCATTGCTTGATGAAGATTGTTCAAAGTTTCATTATACAGATACAGTTGCGTTTCCACAATGCATTCGCGTATGAATTTGTAATGGTTGCAAACCTTCATCCAAAAATTGAATGACGGCACTCTGATTATAATTGGACGGTTTGTTGAATACAAACGACGGGAACTGATCAGTGTGACGACTAACGTTTCAAAAAGTAAGGTAAGTAATTAGAATTGTTTCTAAGGCTAACCTGACCAAAGATGGGTTTCAATTGAACAAGCCTCGTAATACCGTTTTTGGTAGTTTGTAGACGTTGTTGAGGTAAATTTAGGTAACTTATTGGCATTACGCGGGTTGTAGCTGCACGTGTCACTGCGTTGTATACAAATGAAGATTTCTATGATGAACGATAAAACAGTTATCATGTACAACGACTGTAGAGTTAACATTTTCAGTTGGACAAAAGCATTAATACATAGTTACAAATACATCTAACGTAACGTTTCTGCATTGTAAAAACTTTTTGCATATGTGTTGAATGACCCCAGCTGAGGAACGCGTAACACATCTTCAGAATGCAAAAACCCGAAATATGATGTCAGCAAGACATTAGTGGAAACATATTTTTTTAAATTAAAGATGAATATAGAACGTAAACAGAATCACGACATCCATAACTGTAATACAAGAACGAATATTTTTTTTAGAAACAATAAAGTCAGAACTAAAAGAACATAAAATGCACCTATAAATAGAAGTAATTCAATACCGAAAAACTTACTAGACGGAGAAGGAAAAAGTTATTCTAAAATCTAAAAATTCACCTCAAAATGACGAACTGAAAAGAAAGAGATATACATAAAAGCAAAACAGAATATTTTTATGAATTATGGTTGTAATGATTCTATATTTACTGCACCTATTAGTTTGACTTAGTTTTAGAATAATAATGTAATATAAAGGCGTTGGTGTCATTTTTTTCTACTGTTTGAAAGTCTGAAATAAATTGTTGGCAAAAAAATGTTGCTTTCGTCCGAACGACCACAGACAGCTAACCACGTTTCGTGCTTTTTGGCAACTCGTCAGCACGGTCTAGGGCTGGTCTCAGGTGGTCAACGAACGGAAGCATGCGCCTATGCTATAACGTTTTGACAGCAGGATGGTATAGTTGTAGTCACCGTTCTTCGCGGCACGTCATCAACGCCATATGAAATAAGTAAACAGATCGAGTATCCCTACCATGGGCGTCTGTGCATCTGCTACTCTCTCCAGTACGCATGAAGTGGGTAACAGGGGATCGCTGTTTCCATTCTCTTCCTGGAAATACTCTAATAAATTTAGCACGAGCTGTCGGCCTCCTCAATTGATAGTATTTCCGGGTATTGTACAATTTTATATTGAAGATTGATAACAGGACAAGTTAAATTGCACGCCGACAAAGTTCGAGTTCGAGACAGAGACACACGACTAAAAACGTATGTCTTTGAGCTTACCGAACAAATGTCCATATACAGGGGTAGGTAGGGGATATATAAAGGGATACTGGTAGTCTTACTTTGACCCGCCATGAACGGTGACTAAATTATAACGGGTGATTTTTTAAGAGTTATAGAATTTGATTTTCAAAAAAAAAACACAAAAAAGTTGAAAAAACGTTTAAATCTTTATTTGAGTCGATAGAACGGTCGATATAATTTAATGTTTAAAGATTATTTCATGTAAATGTTGGCCGCGGCTCCGCGTTAGATGGCGCATGCGCAAGGTCCAATTTTGGCACACTCTCTCCAACATATCGGCCGGTATCTCACGAATAAATGCTTCAATATTGGCTTCCAGTGCGTCAATCGTTGCTGGTTTATCTCTGTAGACATTAGCCTTAACATGGCCCCACAAGAAATAGTCCAACGGCGTTAAATCACACGATCTAGGCGGCCAATTGACGGGCCCCAAACGTGAGATAAACTGTTCACCGAACTCGCCTCTCAATAGGGCCATTGTTTCGTGTGCGGTGTGGCATGTGGCACCGTTTTGTTGAAACCACATGTCAGCCAAGTCCAGTTCTTCCATTTTGGGCAAAAAAAGTTTATCATCGCACGGTAGCGCTCGCCATTCACAGTTACGTTCCGGCCATTGTCGTCTTTGAAGAAGTACGGCCCGATGATGCCACCGGTCCATAATCCACACCAAACAGTGATTTTGTCGGGATCCATTGGTAACTCTTGCAATGCTTCTGGCTGCTCTTCACTCCAGATGCGGCAATTTTGCTTGTTAACGTACCCATTCAACCAGAAATGAGCTTCGTCGCTGAACACAATTTTTCGATAAAAATGTGGATCTTCCTCCAACTTTGCCAGCGCCCATTCACCAAATTGGAAACGTTGTGTGAGGTCGTGTGGCTTCAATTCTTGCACCAACTGTATCTTATAAGGTTTAACACCCAAATCCTGGCGCAAAATTTTCCACGTAGTGGAGTAACAGAGGACCAATTGCGGCGAACGGCGGCGAATCGACATTTCACGGTCATCACTAACACTGGCGGATACAGCCGCAATATTTTCTTCAGTCCTCACTCTACGCCTGCGTGTTGGTGGTTTAATGTCTAATAATGTAAACTGGGTTCGAAATGTAGTCACAAGCTTCCGAATAGCTCCCTCAGTAGGCCGACCAAATTGCCCATAAATTGGAAGCAGTGCTCGATGCACTCTCTTAACCGAGCATGAATTTTGATAGTAAAATTCAATAATTTGCAAGCGTTGTTCGTTAGTAAGTCGATTCATGTTTAAATTATAGACCAAACTGAACAAGCTTGACAATGACACAAGACACGATTCACGCGTCATCTGTCAAAAACAGTGTTGCCAAAAAGATTCTAGCAAAAAAATCACCCATTAAAAGGATGTAATACGCTTTTATTTGAAAACTTGAGATGAGGGAGCTTCATTGTCCTTCAAATATTTCCAATCAGAAAAAAATATTTTCAAATTTTTAGTTCATTTTATGAACAACTAAACGAAATCTTGTTTTTAAAATGTATTTTTTTATTTTATTTATTGACATGTATGTAAAATTTTTGTATGAGGTAAAAGGTCAAATGAGGTTAACATTAACGTTTACATGTGTGGTATTTATGGTTACACACCTCGCAAATTGGCGATATGAGAATAATAAATACATTCCAAAGTAGAATCCGCAGTTATTCAATGAAGCACTGTTTGTAAAACTTCGAAGAATCTTATTTCTTTGCATAAACGTCTTTCGAATCCGGCACTGCACATTCCAAGCTTTACGAGCACATTTTCACATATTCCTCGTTCAAGTCCAAGTGCACGAACGGACCAACGACTGTGAGCCAAGATACCACCGGATTCTTGCTGAAAGACGAGTCAAGTCATTAAAATATACAAGTAACGTTGAAAAATGCCGGCGTTTTACCTTTCTTCCAAGAAGGGCTCCATAATTTCATGAGTTCTACATGGATGTAGTGTGAAAAACGGTCGTCGCAGTACAGGATGATCCTGAAAGATAAATTTGGTACTTAGTGCGATTTAAATATATTCTTGAAGAAGATTTTTTCTCAACTACTTTTGAGCGATCTTAAGGCTAACCTGACGCGAAATTATCCGCAAATGCCACACAACCATAAATAACATGCTCAGCAGCTAATGAAATCTGTTTCCATACCGAGTAGTCGAATAGGATAGAAATTGTGACAGTATCAGTTTTCCAGATAAAAACAGGGTGAACCATCTAGTCCTTGAAATTTAAACTGGTTATATTTTGCCATCGAATGCTAAATTTACATTCTGGCAGAAAACTAGTCGACTGTCTTACTTCTTAAAATATTGAAAACCTACTTCCAAACTGGAGTCTTTAACACACACACTGAAAGAAATGTACATCGAAGATTTGGTATACGAGTCATCATCAGTTCAGTTTGTGGGCCAGCCCGTGATGTGAGTTCGTTATAGGACACTACAACCCGCTTGTACGTATGCATTCTGTTGCCCACCATAAGCAAGCTCGACGGCAATCTCATGAACTAAACATTCCTCACCGAACTTTTAGGAGAATTTTGCATAAGGACCTCGATATGACGGCTTACAAAGTTCGATTAGTCCAACAACTAAAGCCACCATGACCAAGAAATCAGTTATGGTCGAAGAGAAGCCAATGCGTCTACAATGACTAACTGGTGTGGTTTTTGATCCTGTGACATCACTGCGTCATTCTTCAAACTGAGTATAGGTATACATTTCAGTCAACGGCCAGCGTTCCCGTGTGATAGTCAACAAATGTTTGTTCCCAAAAGTTGAAGTAGACTGACATGGATCACATTTGGTTGCAACTTGCCACATAGCAAACGCAACAATCGAACTTTTGGGCAACGTTTCCAAAAACTGAATAACAAGCCGAAATTCTTATGTCAGCCCAAGGACGAAAAACTGTATAGTTGGTGGAAAATGATCTGTGGCGGCGGAACTGGGGATAAACAATGAAAAAAATAAAAATTGCCCAAACTTCGTTTATAACTTTTCAGAAGCTCCTGACCATTTTCCAGCCCCGATATTTCTAGGCACCTATCAGTGCATATTTCACACATAGATTTCCCCGTACATTTGCCCTTGAAAGTAAGAGAAATGTTCACAGATGCGTTGTACGTCAACCTCCATGCACCAAGTACCGTTTGCGACTGACTGCATCGCTGGCGCTCTTTATCTCCAGTTGTAGTATCAGGTCTGATGCTTATCCATGGTTAACAAGTATTGACATTGTTGCCAGATGGTCAATACCTTAAGTAGTTTTTTTTTGTTTAGAGAGAAGGAAATGTACCTACCGCACGCAACGGCGCATTGCTGGCTGGGCAACTCGACAATGCATCGCTACAGTGTGAGGCTCTCACTCACTAAAACCTCCTCTTTTTTTTCTAGACCGTGTTCCATCTACGGTACTACCTTGCGGCTTTATCCATCATAGACGGGGTCCCTTGTGCCGCCTTTATTGTGGCTTCAGCTACAATCGATTCTGCTACCTTAAGTAGGTTAGGGATGAAACTAAATAGCGTTACCAAATTGGCGGGGACTATGGACTGATTGTATGAGCCTGTTTGGCATGTATTTTTTTGTTATAGGCTGTTTTCCTCAGAGGGGTTAACTCTTGACGAACATAATCCTTTAGGTATGAACTAACTAATGGCGTTGCGTTGCGTGAGACTTGCAGAGTCAGACTACTTGACGCCATTTTTTTGTGGGGAGCCATTAAGGATAAATTTTGCTAACCATCCAGAAACAACTGATACCTTGAACCATGAAATAAATCGAAGCTATTCCCGATACTGTTTTGCAATTTTCGGATACTAAATGCTGTATGGATTCGGGATACAATAACAAATCATAATAAAAGTAAAAACCTAAGATCCACCAGACGGTTTGTTGAATATCAATTATATATTTCGTTGAATCGATTTGTATCACAATCTACGTAGGTTATCGTAAACATCAGTTCTTACCATTTGGGTGATAGTATCGTACATATTAGATTCTTTAAACCTTTCATTCAACTTCCAAAATTCTTCTACGGTTAACATCGTACCATCTGTAAAAAATTATACTCAGCGCCATATTTTATAGTTTTATTTTGTTAATGGGTATGTTTTCTGTTATATGTACCTTGCTTCCAAACGTTGAAACATAAAACAGGTACTCCATAGCTGATGTTGAATGCTATGTGATATTCAAAAGTTAATACATGATTGATATCATCTTCTTGGTCCTGTGATAGTACTTTTTGTTCCTTCTTTATGATGTACTTTCCATTCTCCAATTCCTTGAAATAAGTAGGAAAATATAAGAACACTTTGAAAGTTACAAGATTGTTCAAATTATATCAGGATACACGTACATAAATGTTGGCCGTTAGGGTTTGCCAGATCTACAATCCGTTTATAACTTAAAACGGAAACTACCCACATAAACAGCAATTCGGAAGATTAGATGTGGCAACAACCAGTAACAACCCGAATACAGATATCCTGGGCGAACTGTTATACCCGTTTAGTTATTTGTTGCTAAGGGAAAGAAAGAATTTAATATATTCAAGAGGTTTTTCCCCTCCCGGAAACCGTTCGACCAGAATCCTCGATGGCACTGCTGCCTCTTGGGCTTATTGTGCCTGGCTCCTTAAATTTACAGTACCCAATCTAGCAGTCTAGTGTTCTGTATCAGTTGGCACAGTTTCCCTGTCGGTACTGTTTTAGTTTTGGTTTCCCGAAGAGTTGATGAAACAGAGCCCCGCACTCACATAAGGCATGTAAGGCTGATTTTGTTCCTATTCGCATTGCCTGCAGATTATGTCTCCATCATACAGACCTATTTTGCGTGTTTTTTCAGGCCATTAGAAGGCCAGTAACTACTCGGAGCTGGTTTCTACGCATTGAGAGCGATCCGCAACCGTATTTGGATATGGTCCCGAGATAAATTCTCTCTCATGCCTCCATCAAGTCACTAAGGCCCGTATCGTCAGTCGTCCCTACAATTGTAGGGCGCGTTTATGGCCTCCTTGATTGTCATACTCCTTTCTCTCCTTCAAAAATTTCTAGATTCCACCTGTCCCGTGTCAGCGTCAGCGCTCTCCTATTGTGAAGATATGTTTTCTTTTTAAATTGTAGGAAATTTCAGGCTGACAAAACATGATACAACTTAAAAGCAAGCACAATTTGATGCAAATAGATGTTTGGGACATAACCTAAAAATAGAGCGCTGACACGGAGAAGTAGAAAACTCTGACAATCAAGGAGGCCATAAAGGTGGCCTACAATTGTAGGGACGACTGACGATACGGGCCTAAGTACCACTATTCCTTGTACTGGTTTCTTACGTATTCATTGACATGGTTCCTTATTGTGCTTTTTGGCACCTTCAACGCAGGCTCTGGGCCTGTAACGGATGTGGATGATCGTTTCCTTGCGAGCTCATCCACCCTTTCAACCTCAATAGGCTAGTTACTAATTACGGATTTTAGAGAAATTTGAAGTAACTAGTCATCAAGTACTACGTTTTAAAAGATAGCTACATGTCCCAAACTTAGATCATTCTGGAAAACAAAGCTTGCCCCAGTGATAAAATTTCGCATTAAGTATATAGCAATAAAGTATAAATACCTCATTTTGCTCGAATCTCCAGCCATCTATCAAATTATCAGAAGTATTGACAATATCTTCAATGCATCTATTGAAGTCCTCTATGGAAAGACTCATGTCATCTGAAAAAAAGAACTATTTTAATATGACGTTTGGAAAGTATTGTTCGCTTTAATTAATTTTATTTGTGGTTGCCTACAAATCGAGACAATATAGCAAAAACTGTAATGCCATTTAAACTAAATTTATACAGGGTGATTTAGAAACTCATAGTAAGTCTCTAAGGTAGAAGGTATATTTAAGAATAGCTCGAAAAATGCTTATAAAGACGTTGTCAAAAAACGCCCGCTCGCCGTGACACAAGGTGTTGAAATTTTAATTTCGAAATCGCAAAAAAATAGTGTCTTCGGAGTGTGTTCAGATATTCTCTTATACGATTGTAGATGTAGTAAATATACTATATTCAAAATTTTGTACCTGAAGCTAAACAAGTGTCGCAGAAATTGGGAAATGTTTGTCCATATAGAAGAAAAAAGAAAATGATTTCCTACGCAACTTTTTTGAAACATTATTTGCAGTTTTGAACAAGGTGTTACATTTTACAGCTCGTCAAGTGTAGAAAGAGATGCGAATTTTTTGAATAATGTCACCCTTCTCGGTGCGCAGTAGCTAGCGGCTCAGTTCGTCGGACGAAGCAGTCAGGAGAAAAATTGTCAGGCAGTTTATAATGGATTTTATATCCAAATTACAACGCAAAGTTTTATCAGGATAAACTAGGAGGTTGTAGCAAATATTATATTCTTTATGCAACGAGAAGCAGAAATAAATAGACCTCTTAAATGTTTGAAGAAAGTCTATCGACTATTAGGAGGAGGTTTTTTCAGGACATGAAATCCGTTGAAGAAGGTACTTCGACATCTTTTTCGGCACCAAACAAAAAAGACGAAGAGCCACTCAGAAATCTGAATTCGACGACTTTGATAGAGGATTGCTTCGTCGAACCATAATGAATTTTTACATAACGGAAAAGAAGGTTTCAACTTTGCGGTGCATACACAGAGAATTTGTTCAAGAACACAATTACACTGGATCACATGAAACTAATGAGGACAATGGGATTACATTGGAGGAAGGCAAGAACTAATAGAAGACTTCTTATCGAGAAACCAGAGATTCAGCAACTCCGGAGAAATTTTCTGAGACGGATGAAAGAATATAGAGAAAAAAAATCGTCCAATAATTTATATGGACGAAACATACATCCATACATCACATACGCATAAAAAGGAGCGATAATACGAATGAGGGTCTTTACAGGCCAGTTTCAAAAGGACAAAGATTTATTATTGTGCATGCTGGTAGTGAAAATGGTTTCGTGGAAAATGCATATTTGAAATTTAAATCCAGTAGTCGGATGATTATCATAGTGAGATGAACTATAGTAACTATAAATGGCTTCAGGATAAACTGATGACCAACCTACCACCAAATAGTGTTTTTTTTTGTTATAGACAACGCTCCGTACCAGAATGCTCAGATAGACGAATGTCCTACTACGATCCCCTTCCCACTTCAGTTGGCCCACTTCAAGATTTGTACCAAAATATGCCTTTATAAACTACGAAACATGACGAAACTATTTACTTCTAAAACAATTTATTTTCTCAAAAACATTTTAGATACACTCTAGTCGTAAAAAATACATATGGCGTCAAGACGAACCGTAAATTCATTCTTTATTAGGAATGATATACCAAACCTTAAGGCTATACATGCAAAGATCAAGGGTAATGACATTATACCTCCAGTGATCGACGGAGTACTAAGGAAAACCCTGCAGGAACCTAATTTTCATTACTAAACGCGTGATTGGAAGTCAGGATTGATACAGAAACCTGAAATAGTCGCGTAGCGTCGAAAATACGAGCCCCTTCCCACTTCAGTTGCCCACTTCAAGATTTGTACCAAAATATGCCTTTATAAACTAAACATGACGGAACTATTTACTTCTAAAACAATTTATTTTCTCATAAACATTTTAAATACACTCTAATCGTAAAAAATACATATTTGAAATCACTTAGACCTATAACTAATAGAACATCTGAACAAATAAACAATGTGTGAATAAATGTGCGAAGTTAACAAAGCAACAATTGAAATATTACCATTGGGTAACATCACCTTTATTTTTTATTACGGCTGAAATTCTTTGGGACATAGTGTTAACCAAGTTTTGGCAAAAATTTGGTGTAAAACAATCCCATACTTCTTGAAGCTTTTGTCTCAGTTCGGTGATTGTACGAGCAGGATGTTGTCGTAGAACCTTTTTCATCTCGTGCCACAAAGTTTCAATAGGTCATAGATCTGGACTGCTAGAAACCCATTTCAAAAGTGGTACATTATTTTCTTCCATCCATTTTATAGCCTTTTTTGAGGTATGGCGCGCTGCACCATCTGGCTGAAACACAAAATCTTGGCCGGATGTCAAACATTCTTCCATTACTGGTAAAAGCGATTCTTCTAAAATTGCCAAATATTTGTTTGTATCCACATTTCCATCAATAAAATGAAGTTTTCCTACTGCTTTTGAAGTCATAGTACCCCAGACCATAATGGATGCTAGAAATTTCACTTTTCTCTTCAGACAGTCAACATGGAGTGCTTCATTTTTTTTGCGAATAACTCTACTGCGACTGTCACCAACACAAACTTCGAATCGGGCCTCATCACTCCATTGTATTGCACACCATTGTTGAGGTGTCCATTGTCTATGTTCTTTAGCCCATCTAAGCCGATTTTTTTCTTTTGTAGTGGCTTTTCTTTGGCGTATAAACAAGTTGTGCAGCTTTAGGGTTTTTACTTCACTTTTTTTATAAGAAAACTTACCTTGTAAGTGCTAAATCCCAGCTTGTGGGCCTCTCTATGAGTTGTGGACCTCGAAATTCTCCTTCCAACAGCGTCACTCCACAGAGCACTTAATTGTAAATAATTGGCACGCCTGTTTTTGACGATTATTCTTCTTAATGCTTTTCGGTCGGCATTTGTGATATTACTTTTTTTCACATATCGTGGCTTAATATTAACTGAACCAGTTACGTTATATCTTCTAACAATATTTCTCACACTGTACCGCAATAAGTCTAACAAAGTTGCAATTTCTGAGTTTGATTTCCCAGAATTAAAAAATCTAATTATCAGTAACCGAATTTTCTCACTAATAACCTTTCCTCTACCCATTTTGAAAACCTTAACTACCCAAAACTATTTTAAACGTATTCTGACAGCTGTGATTAATAAAAACAATTGTCATGGCTTTTATTTTTCACAGCCACTTATGCGTTATAGACTTATTTTGCATTGAAATGAAAATAGGTTGATATTCTGTAATTGCAACATGTGTCATTTGCATGCTGCAAATTTGATTAGGGAGTGATAAAGTTGGTGTTTTCTACTATATATTATCAAAATATTCATTGTTAATATTTTAAACCTATAACACCCAGCTACATTTTTATTATTTGTGTTTGATAAGAAAAAAACTAAGATTTCAATAGTTGGGCCTGAAGTGGGAAGGGGCTCGTATGTGCTCTAAGAAGGATCATATGAAAGAATGGCTAAGGGAAAAAACATAAATTCACTGACGACATGTTGAAAATTGATTTGCATGCATTATCAAAATGCATAAGCCGACATGTATAACTTATGAAATAGACAGAATAATGGCTGTTTTGAGATTGTCCCCATATCACCCCGACTTGAACCCAATGTTGGTATGGGCATCTTTGAAACAATATGTGGCTGAGCGAAATGTAGATTTTAATCTCAAGACTGTCGACAAACTTTGCTACGACTTTTTCTCATCTTATCCCACTGAAGAATAGAAAAAGCGATGTGAGCATGCCAAAGGTTTTGAAAAGCAGTATATGGAAATGGAACCAGCACTCGACTTATTGTGGATCAAATAATAATAAACCTGGACGAAGATAGCGATAGCGAAACCGAAGATTTAAGTTTAAGTAGTAGCTCAGATTCCGATTCCGAACTTTCAGGGTTCAGTCCCCTGTGAAACTTCATAAATCTTTAAAATATTGCCAACTGTATCTTCTACGATGACAGTTTTCTGACCTTACTTTTCATTTGATTGTTTACTAAATGAAATTATTAACAATTAAGAATCAATTTCAGTCTTATAGCTACTTAGCATGCAATACTTATTTTATGGAATAAATTGTTTTGGTTTCCTTTTGACACATGCCAACAATTTCGATGAAAAAAAGCAGGCTTCACATAATACATATTCCATTACTGAATTTCTTTTGCTCCGAATGCGTTCTCCATCTCTCGTGTGCGCAATCCCAGCAAATCCACATACCTCTTCCTACACTTGACAAGCTGTAAATGACCCACCTCTCTGGAGAACTCCATGCCAGACTTCTCCTTTTTGAGGTAAAATCCGCATAAAAACTTCAACCCGTTCTAGCTTGTCTTGATTTCAAGTCACGTCAAGTAGCTTCAAAAACAAGTCAAGTGATGAGTCTCTATGGGCATCTTAAGAGCTACGTTTATATAAATTTTTGTATGTACTTTTAGCTCTAGAAATATTGCCACGCTTTTCTGAATCACTCTGTAGACACGTAGAAACTTATTCTGTCTAGTGTTTGAAGATACTAGGTTGTGATCACTACAGAGCTTCTGTAGTCAATTAGTTCTAATAAAGGATGAACACGGAAACAATTTTTGTTTTATCTATCAACCATCTGGGTGGTGCGTTGTTCTGTCAAATGACAACATTTTCTTTCATCAATCATTCGATTCATAAATTCGCAGAGGAGTGCTGGAGACGCCGCATTTGAATATTCAAATTCGACGAAGTCAAAGTACTCACTACCGTATGCGTAATGAGAATGGGAAAATGACGGTTGATCTTCCTAGAATTTTCGGACGTCGTACATTTCCAAATGCGATCAATAAAAAACGGCGTCGAGTAGGCCGACTCTGCACTTCTCACGCAACGCTGTCATCGGTTCATAAAGTTTTATGTTAGGCACAAGTTGATACATTTGAGAAAAAAGTCAGCTGCGAACATGAATCAGAAAAAAGATGTATCAAGTCAGTGCAA